TCCTTTGCCAGGTAAGTCCAATACGGACTCACCATAGCCCGTGCTACTTGGAATTTTTGTTCCGAGTAGCTTAATCTTAAACATCAACAAATTAGGCCTCACAACCCTGGAGGAGAAAAGAGAGGGGACATGATCACAACATAAGAGATATTGCGGGGAATTGACAAGGTTGACAAGGACAGCCTCTTTAAAGCGAGAGAAAGTATGACAAGTGGACATAAGTAGAAGCTGGAAATACAGATGAGTCGAAGAAATGTAAGGAAATTCTCGTACCCTTATGGGTGGTCCATAAATGGAACGTATTGAATCAAGTTATGGAAGCCACCTCCGTCTACCACTTTAAGACGGATGTGGCTTCGACAAAGAATTCCAACATCAAAATATGCAAATTATAAAGCAACAGGCACAGCAGGCCTAGTAGGCGAGGCATAAAGAGTTAGACCTCACAATCTCTGATCGGTAAGTTCCACCAATCCCACCCACATCACCCCCACCCGCCCCCGCACCACTACCACTGGACTAAGGACCCACTTAATTATACCTTTTCTTCCGTGTAGCTAAAAGTTTTGGTGGAGGATGAGGACTGACAGTGATCAGTTTACATTATCTGAAGGTTTAAGATTTCTTAGATCTTCAATAGCGTTCCTGGGGTCAGTGTTTATCATTGTGATGGTTGTCATATGCGCCTGGTCAAGAGACAGTTTGACAGCGAACATTTCAGTCGCCCATTGTGGTGGTGGCGGCCTGTAGCCTGGTGCGTGTAACTTGTGGCCTTTTTGTGTTGTGTTATTTATTGCCTTGTTGGCGTTTTAATTGTTTCCAGGCGTAGCTTTTCGGGTTCCGTTCGTTTTGGTAACCATGTGATGATTCTTATAGCTGCATTTCGAACATTTACAAGAGTTTTGATTTTTCATTAAACATGAGTGATGAAAGCAGGAGCTTTGTATTCTATGATGGATCTAATTGGGTGAGTGTAATAAGTTCTGAGAACATTGTGTTTGGCGCTAATCTCAGCTGCTGAAGAAGGCCGCAGAGGAACCTTGTCAACCGCTAACTAAAGTTTTAAATAAAACACCCGAGACAGATCTCTTAGCATTCTGGAGAAAGGTAAATGGGGTTCCTATAAAATAAATGGAATAGATGTATTGACTGGCAAGTATTCCAGTAACATTAACCATTGGGCCCACCGTTGACTATGACCTTAACCATTGGACCCACCGCTGACCAGCTCCTGAGCAGGATCACTACTGAGGAAGAAAAAGTTCCCAGTCAGGTTTACGCAGCGAGTGACCGATCCCCGGCCCCGTTAAGTGACACTGTAGGCAACTCCTGGCTGGGACTAGCTGTCTGTAGGGACTGGCTTGCTGGGTGCAGGGATTGTCCGAGTGTGGAGGGCCTTGATGGTGGAGGACCTTGACGGTGGACGGCCTGGACGGTGGACGGCCTGGACAGTGGACGGCCTGGACAGTGGAGGGCCTGGACGGTGGAGGGCCTAGACAGTGGAGGGCCTCCCGGAAACTGCATGGAGGATCGGGGAAGACTTGAGTGGGCATGGCACCGTCTGAGGGGGTATCAAGAGTGTAATGCATATTGGCAAGTGTTGGTGTGTTCCGTTATCTCCATGCTCCCCTCACAGTTCATGTGTGTACATGTTGTCCTCACAGCTCATGTGTGTACACGTGTGGTTATGGGTGAGGGTGTAGAGGAGATTGCCGGTGTCTGCTACATATAGAAACGCCGTTAGAGTGTAATTGTTATGTAAGTATATTCCGTGTCAGCAAACATTTCAAGCAGCTTAACAGTTTGATGTTAGCAGAGACGGCTGCGACCACTTGGGTAGAACTTGGCGTCCGCTATCTTACTCTTTTCCTCCTCCCCGACCATCCGCCAACTCATGTACCCAGAAACCCCCATCTTGCAACCTCTCCCCCGCAAGCCAACCCCACAAACCCAACCCCTGGCCAAGATATGAACTCACGTGGACATTTCTCACGCGCCGCCGCCCGCGACTCCCTTGCTGCCCACCGAGGAAACATTTTCTTTCGTTTTGTTTTGGTAGTCTTTCCGGTGTTAGTATCAACAGTTTCTTGTTATGTCTGGTTCATTTTACGGTTTTCTTACCCTTCTTCGTGCGCGGCACGTCCAGGCACGTGAGTTAGGACTGAATGTTAAGAGTACGAGGAATTTTAATATTATTTATACAAGACGATAATTTTGGTTTATGGATCGTGCAGTGTGAGTGTACACACACACACACACACTCACACACACACACACACACACACACATAAATATAATATATATATATATATATATATATATATATATATATATATATATACATATGCGGAAAATCCACAAAGAAATTGGAAAGGAAGATGAACGTTTCGGCCGTTTTACAGCTGTAAAACTGTATATATATATATATATATATATATATATATATATATATATATATATATATATATATATATATATATATATATATATATATATATATACTGTATATATACGGCTCACCATATATATATATATATATATATATATATATATATATATATATATATATATATATATATATATATATATATATATATACTGTCATAGACTGGCCGAGGGTCCACCACATTGATTGATAAAGATTAAGCCACCCAAGAGGTGGCACGGGCATGAATAGCCCGTAACCGGCACATTGTCTTCCCTATCTGCTCTGACAGTGACCCCCCCCCCCCCTGGGTGAGGAGTGTTGTTAGAGGTCCCTCGGGGCGGGTGTGGACTGTTGGGAAGGGTCCCTCGAGACGAGTGGAAGAGACAGAATGCATCACTGGCCACTGACCCCAATGTGCTGGCAAGGATCTGTCCCACCTCCCTGTCTCCACACCCGCCACCTGTGACACAGGTGGCGGGTGATACGCAGCCTCACCGATGTGCATCACCACACAAAGTAAACTCCGCACTATCTTCATGCAATCACAATCTGTCATTACAAAAGTTGAGAAGACTTTTTATATCACAACAACACCAACTAGGTCACACACATCGCCCGTCAGCGCCTCTTGACGACGCTACAATCAACACTAAAGTTCAACTCTCCTGTCAATGACCTCAGTCGGCTCAGTTTCTGTAGCTGAGGAGTTGTACGTGATTAGATGACCAGGAACTATATCAGAAAGAGCAAGTTAATTAAGGTAGACCCTTGTGGCACTACCGGAAACCCAACCACTTGGATTGGTTGGTACAGCTGTATGCAGGTCAGAGTTCAATCCCCCGATGGTCCAAGGAGGGATGGAATAATTGGGCATTATTCCATCCCTCCGCCGACTACCAGGGATTAAGCTAGATATTCCCAACATCTATAAACTAGAATGTCTGTTTGTTCAGAGCACAGCCCCGCTCCTGTGCCAGGTGAGTCCACTACGGGCTCACCATAGCCCGTGCTGCTTGGAACGTTTTGTTCCGAGTAGCAGAACCTAAAACAACAACAAACAATGGAAGTGTTACCTGAGCTGAGAATTAATGAAGGTGCGATTCGAAGGTAGGAAAGAAGTGAACGACTGCTCGGAAAAAACACGTATAATGAGTTGTAGGTCGTGTGTATTTTATTTTTCACTCGTAAACTGGTTTTGGTGACTGGAATAACGAGCTATAATAAATAATGAGAATAATAATAATTATTATTATTATTATTCTGGAATAATAACTGGAATAATGAGAATAACGGTAAATGTTTTGATATTAGGCTGCTTTGTTTTGGTGGCGGGCTGGAAACTTTTGGAAGAGGACTTGTCATAGTTCCTAGGCAGCGTCAGAGCAACATCCCTGACGTAAAGTTTTGAGGTTGTCCTGGCTGCAGGAAATGTCACAGTTGTAATAGCTAGTTGAAGCACTTGGATTGGTAGATAGAGCGACTACTTTGCATTTTTCATGGTCGGTGTTCGATCCCTGAATGTCTTAAGTAGTTGGGCACCGAACTTATGTCCAATCTCCTTATCCTCATATCCCTTCCAGGTACCATATATAGTCTATTATTGGAGAGTTAACACCACAACTCTCCAACATCAGAGTTGGAGAGTTCTCATTTCTCCAATCTCTTTCCTTACCAGTGTATTCCTGAAGGAAATACTGCATTGGTTATGACACCTGACAGTTTAATTTCAGTGAGTGCTATTACATCCAGGTTAAATTCTTGTGCTCTTTTCCCCAAGTTCACTTGCTTTATTTGTAATCCCATTAATGCAAAAATCAGTACTTACCTCATCTTGTTGTGTTTGTGGGGGTTGAGCTTCGGCTCTCTGGGAGCCAAGAGGAGGATTCGAACTTATGTTATCGGTACTCCCAAGCAATGGGATTTCTTTGTGCATTCGAAGAGAAGCGTTTAAAGTATAACTCCGTCACTATGACCAGAGTGCGGGGGGGTGGGGGGGGGGGAGGGGAATGCGTGAAATCCTGATTAGGCTTCAGTTGGACACTTCAGGCTCCTACTGATTTTCTCGCTAATACATCACGTTAATGTGATTTCTTTTGTGGAATCCCGTTAATGTTTGAGTACATTACTTTGAAGGTAACTTTCTTCTGTCCAGTCTCACGCACTCCCTTAACGTCAATTACACAGGTGTGTGTGTGTGTGTGTTTACGTGAGTGTTTTTAGAGAATGTGTATGTGCACATGATTGTATGTTTATATATATATATATATATATATATATATATATATATATATATATATATATATATATATGTACATATATATATATATATATATATATATATATATATATATATATGTACATATATATATATATATATATATATATATATATATATATATATATATATATATATATATATATATATATAAACTACACAGATATAGAAGCTTTCATCTACCTAAACACAAAACACCGAGGCTGGCTGGATACGACGAAAATATTGACATAAAGTTTGACCGTGCGTGCGTGCGAGCGTGCAAGCGGAGCTGGTGTTGGAAACATATATACCAAGATGGGCCAGGAGGCGGGAGGTCACCTTGAAGCAAGTGGCTGGTACTACACTCTTGTGTGACTTGGCCCTCTTCCCCCACCGCGCTGTCACCTCTCCGCCCTGTCCTCCTCCTCAACTGGTTTTTTAAATTTTAAATTTTGCCCCGAGGGGCGAGTTTATTGGGCAGCGCCACTCATCTTGTGAATAACGCACTCCCGGAAATATGTCACAACTCCCTATATGATCTATATATATAGGGTTATATTAATAATTAATGCTATATTAAATATTAATTAGTGTCCTCCCCTCCTCCTAAGGTCGAACTACTGACCTTTCCCAGGATGTAATCCCACAATAAGGGCCACACAGTCACAACAAGGTTCTCACAGTCACAACAAGGTTCTCACAGTCACAACAAGGTTCTCACAGTCACAACAAGGCCCCTCACAGTCACAACAAGGTTCTCACAGTCACAACAAGGTCCCTCACAGTCACAACAAAACCCCTCACAGTCACAACAAGGTTCTCACAGTCACAACAAGGCCCTCACAGTCACAACAAGGCCCTCACAGTCACAACAAGGCCCCTAACAGTCACAACAAGGCCCTCACAGTCACAACAAGGTCCCTCACAGTCACAACAAGGCCCTAACAGTCACAACAAGGCCCTCACAGTCACAACAAGGTCCTCAAAGTCACAACAAGGCCCTAACAGTCACAACAAGGCCCTCACAGTCACAACAAGGTTCTCACAGTCACAACAAGGTCCTCAAAGTCACAACAAGGTCCCTCACAGTTACAACAAGGCCCCTCACAGTCACAACAAGGCCCTCACAGTCACAACAAGGTTCTCAGTCACAACAAGGTTCTCACAGTCACAACAAGGTTCTCACAGTCACAACAAGGCCCTCACAGTCACAACAAGGCCCTCACAGTCACAACAAGGCCCTAACAGTCACAACAAGGCCCTCACAGTCACAACAAGGTTCTCAGTCACAACAAGGCCCTAACAGTCACAACAAGGCCCTCACAGTCACAACAAGGTCCTCAAAGTCACAACAAGGCCCTAACAGTCACAACAAGGCCCTCACAGTCACAACAAGGTCCCTCACAGTCACAACAAGGTCCTCAAAGTCACAACAAGGTCCCTCACAGTCACAACAAGGCCCTCACAGTCACAACAAGGCCCTCACAGTCACAACAAGGTTCTCAGTCACAACAAGGCCCTCACAGTCACAACAAGGCCCCTCACAGTCACAACAAGGTTCTCACAGTCACAACAAAGTTCTCACAGTCACAACAAGGTTCTCAGTCACAACAAGGCCCTCACAGTCACAACAAGGCCCCTCACAGTCACAACAAGGTTCTCACAGTCACAACAAGGTTCTCACAGTCACAACAAGGTTCTCACAGTCACAACAAGGTCCCTCACAGTCACAACAAGGTCCTCAAAGTCACAACAAGGTCCCTCACAGTCACAACAAGGCCCTCACAGTCACAACAAGGCCCTCACAGTCACAACAAGGTTCTCAGTCACAACAAGGCCCTCACAGTCACAACAAGGCCCCTCACAGTCACAACAAGGTTCTCACAGTCACAACAAGGTTCTCACAGTCACAACAAGGTTCTCAGTCACAACAAGGCCCTCACAGTCACAACAAGGCCCCTCACAGTCACAACAAGGTTCTCACAGTCACAACAAGGTTCTCACAGTCACAACAAGGTTCTCACAGTCACAACAAGGTTCTCACAGTCACAACAAGGATTGTTTAACATTATATCTAAGCTCCGGGAAATAATGAACAGATGACAAACTGTTAGTAGGTTTTCTGTAAACATTAAACTTTAGAGAACGAAGTAACTTCGTACTTCGAAGTACTTCGCAGTACACGAAGTAACGCTCACGTTTCGGACACAGGCTCCTCTAAGACTGTAGGCTGTGGTGGAGGACCAGACTGTAGGGTGTGGCTGAGGACCAGACTGTAGGGTGTGTCTGAGGACCAGACTGTAGGGTGTGGCTGAGGACCAGACTGTAGGGTGTGGTGGAATACCAGACTGTAGGGTGTGGCTGAAGACCAGACTGTAGGGTGTGGCTTATGACCAGAGCTACGGGTGTGGTGGAGAGCTACGCAGAATTATCGTCGTCAAAGCAATCAGATTTATTAAAAGCCTTCCTTTCTATTCTGGGGATATGGTCGAGACCAACTCGGCCTGTCAGCTAATGCGTCTAATTTTGTACGTTATGATTCCCAACGGACAAAGTTGTAGCAAAAGTAGCGACTCAAAAAAATCCACGTTTTCTGTGCAATGTTTGGTTAGGTTAAGCTGGCGGCCTAATTTCGTATGTTTTTGATTAGGCTAGCATCGCATTTTGTACGTTGTGGCAAGTCAAGAGAACGGGCTGCCTAAATACCCTTACCATTCAAGGTCAACTGTCTATAAATATCCTTTCGAAATACGACTTGCTATGGACCCGTTCACCCTCCAAAGGTGACGAAACTGAGAGTGTAGAGCGTGACAGGTCTTGGCAGCTGCCGGTTAAGTGTGTTCTGGTATTTGTATCCTCACCTCTTTATTCTTTGTAAATTGCTATTATTTCCACAATTCAGTTATTTATGAGCGTTTATAAGACGTATCAAACAGCAAATAACCGTTTAAAAAGTTAATATAGCAAGCTTTTCATTAACGAAGCTAATATTTTTGGGTCAGATGGTACGAAGGTCAAATCATTGCACTGAGCGCATGAGTCAATTAGTGCATGACCTTGCCAGGGGCCAATTAGTGCATGACTTAACCAGGATTCAATCAGCGCATGCCTTAGACAAGAGCCAATCATGGCATGACTGTGCCAGCAGCCAATCAGATGGCGGCTGGGCAGGAGGCCATGGCTGGCATGAAGTTTGTTTACATGCTTCACCGAGCTGCGTACCTATTTCCCGGGCCCCCTCCCTGCCCCGTACCGGTATACCTATTTCCACTACTCTGGACCTCGGGGGACTGGCATACATGTTTTACTGTCCACATTTTTTATATTTGTTATTTTTTTACTCAAGAGGACTGGTTTACTGGGCAGCATCACTCAAGAGGATACCGCCATAGTGACAGTATTGGGCAGTGTCACTTATTCTTTGAGTGAACATAGCGCCATAGTGGCAGTGTTGGGCAGCGTCACTCATCCTCTGAGTGAACATACCGCCATAGTATGACGGTATTTTCACTCATACAGTCCCAGTCATTCACAGTTTAGCAGTCCCCATGGTGTAGTTCTTACATTCTTGAACAGCCACTAGCACGCATATCGTTTCAGGCAAGTCCTTAATCCTATGTTCCCCGGAATACGACCCGCCAAATCGTTTAACAACCAGGCACCCATATTACTGTTGGGTAAATAGAGGCTACAATTAAGGTTTGACGCGTAGTAAATCCTCCCCCGGCCAGGATACGAACCCAGGACAAAGCGCTCGCGAAACGCCAGGCAGGTACCACTACACCACTAGGGACTGCAATGATTCTACTTCTAGCTGGCCTACGATTACTGATAGGCCTACTCTTATTAGGCTTAATATTTATAATAACCTTATCGAGAAAATCCGTATGAGCAGTGATGAGGGTTCGAACCTGTTCCCAGGCACACGCTTCTAGCTTCAGTAAAAGCCTCAGGAAATAATTGTGTTCAGTAGTACTCCAGGTTGCAATCCTTATACCATGTCGTGGTCTAGTTGTTAGAAGAGTGTGCCTGGGAACACCCACCACATAGGTTCGAACCATCATCACGGCTCCTACGGATTTTCTCATTGATACAGTCACGTTAGTGTGATTACTCTCTGTGTGATAACTTTATCACTATTGTTACGAATTGTATTGGACCCGCGTAAAGTAGTTAAAATAATATGGTTGATTTAGGGGTTGGGTACATGGTAATAATGGAAATGCATTCTAGGCTGTACGATCTATTCCATAGCAGCATCCAGACATTGCCCCCCCGTCCCATCACAAATCCTTATCCTGACCCCCTTCCGAGTGCTATATAGTCGTAATGGCTTGGCGCTTTATCCAAAAATCAAAATCAAAATGTTTATTCAGGTAAAAGTATTTTAAACTGGTTAAGAGAGGTACAGCCTTTGACATGATTGGAAAGGTCATTCCACATTCTGGGTCCCTTGATTTGTAGAGAATTTTTAGTTTGGTTAAGGCGCACTCTTGGAATATCGAATAGGTGTTTGTTTCTGGTGTGGTGTCCATTGGTTCTGTTACAACCTTCTAGGAAGCTTTTAAGGTCAGGATTGGCATTACTGTTCAGAGTTTTAAATATATAGAGTACACATGAGAGGATGTGCAGTGACTTAGTATCTAACATATTTAAAGATTTAAGTAAGGGTACCGAGTGCTGTCTGGGGCCAGAGTTTGATATTGTTTAATAGCAGCTTTGTGTTGAGTAATTAGTGGAACTAGATGATTTTGTGTAGTAGAACCCCAAGCACAAATACCATAATTGAGATAAGGATAGATGAGAGAGTAATAGAGCGTCACCAGGGCAGACCGAGGCACATAATATCTGATCTTAGAAAGAATGCCAACAGTTTTAGAAACATTTTTTGCTATATTTAGCATATGACCCTGGAAAATCAGCTTGTTATCGATGAGGACACCAAGGAATTTACCATCTATCCTAATATTTCACTCCCCTCCAGAAAATTTGATAAAACCATTTATCATTTTATGTTTGAAATTTACTGATTTACTTTCTCTCTATTATTTGTATTTATTAATATTATTGCTATCCATAGCAGCACTTGCCAGCAACACTGGTTCTTTGTCCCTGGTATCTCCTTCCTGTCGACCCAACCAGCAGGATTGATTGATTGATGAAGATTAAGCCACCCAAGAGGTGGCACGGGCATGAATAGCCCGTAAAACCAGCAGGAGGCGGGTGGGCGCCCTTGTAGGCTTCGCCTTTACACCTGCATTCTCCTACTCAGCTAAACATAACCTGTTTCATCCCGGCATTGCTCAAGACGGCACAATCTTATCACGGAGTGTACGGGTAGGGCAGCCTTCACCGGGAATGGGGACCCCAGGCTCTTGAAGGAGGTCCATACAACGAGCCTTAGTCTTGGATATGGTCGGTTACCACATCCCACTATCCCAATCCTCCATGTTGGTGTTGGATAGAGATCCAATATATCCCAGTTGTGGTGTGTGTGTGTGTTTGCACTTGGACAAGTTGGTAAGGTTGTCAAGGGTGTTTTACGAGTGGTTGGTGATCATTAGACGGTGATGTTAACTGTTACGGAGACCCAGCTCTTCGCTGCCTCTCTGCTGACGTATATAACATTCTTGGAAGAGGATTAGCACACGTGGGAGCGGCCAGAACCTTTATCGATCAGCGGCGGCCGAGAACCACCACACTTGGAAGATATTTCACGATCGGACGTGTCACCATTGAGACGTAGACGCTATGACACACACACACACAGACCAAGCACAATTAGGTGAGTACACACACACGCGCGCGCACGTTTGGGACAGCGCTTGGGACTCGTAGTCCTTGGGTCCGGGTTCGATCCCCGGCGATGGCGGAAAATAAATGGGCAGTTTCTTTCACCCTGATGCCCCCCTGTTACCTAGCAGTAAATAGGTACCCTGGGAGTTAGACAGCTGTTACGGGCTGCTTCCTGTGTGTGTGTGTGTGTGTGTGTGTGTGTGTGTGTGTGTGTGTGTGTGTGTGTGTGTGTGTGTGTGTGTGTGTGTGTGTGTGTGTGTGTGTGTGCGTGTGCGTGTGTGTCTGTGTGTGAAAAAAGTTGATTGATTGACAGCTGAAAAGCAGGCCGAAAGAGCAGAGCTCAACCTCCGCAAGCACAACTAGGTGAATACAACTAGATGAATACACACACACACATAATTCCACCTTAGCAACTGTCACTTTCCATCCAGATGGCATAATCCGGGAGGTCAGCTTCAGGAGTCAGCGCTGACACTGTCAGCAAGAATCCAGCGTCAGCGCTAGAAGTGCCTTGTCTTCCTCTCCACACTTTCCCTTTCTCTGCCCCTCACACATTCCAACCCTACACATACATCGAGCCATTTCCCACACACCCACACTCCCCCCCACATACATTCCACCCTCCATACACCCATCGACACCCCTACAAAAGCACTCGGCCGGCCTCCACACACACATGTCCTTGGCCCAAAACACACACACTCGGCCTCCCACGCACGTTGTACCTGGTACTCAGAGGTAATCTACGTGTAGCCTGACAACCAGGGCAGTGTCTGGCTGTGCACGATAACATCCTCACGTGCTCAGAACAATGTCTAGCTGTGCACGATAACCATCACGTGCTCCGGTGCCATTTCGGCCGCTGTCAAGGGTTGGTGGCCGACGATTTTAGCGAACGTTTCACCGTTCGTGCTAAACCATTTGTTTTAATGGTCTCCCTGGCTTAAGATTGCCAGGTTACAGCAACGCTGGAGTGCAAGGTGATAATGTATATGACAGAATTAGCCATTATAACACTAGCAATATTAAATTAAGTTCAACTATTTCGTTCCGGCAGTAGCAGAAGAATGAGAGGCTTCGTCTTCTCGGTACAAACGTAATCTGTCACAAAACGTTTCTGGAGCAATGTCAGTGACAAGCTTATGTCTGTCTGTACCTCTCTGCAGGGAAGGGGGTAGAAATAGCCTAAGCTACTCTATCGCTTTGAGATGTATTTCTTTCTTGTGTCAATAAACATACTTGAACTTCTCTGCACAACGTAAGGTCTCAT